GGCGAGTTTTGCAGCCTTTGCGGCGAGTTTTGCAGCTCTGCGGCGAGTTCTGCAGTTCTGCGGCGAGTGTTGCAGCCTTTGCGGCGAGTTTTGCAGCTCTGCGGCGAGTTTTGCAGCCTTTGCGGCGAGTTTTGCAGCTCTGCGGCGAGTTCTGCAGCCTTTGCGGCGAGTTTTGCAGCCTTTTCGGCGAGTTTTGCAGCCTTTGCGGCGAGTTTTGCAGCTCTGCGGCGAGTTCTGCAGCCTTTGCGGTGGGGTTTGCAGCCTTTGCGGCGGGTTTTGCAGCTCTGCGGCGAGTTTGGCAGCTCTGCGGCGAGTTCTGCAGCCTTTGCGGTGGGGTTTGCAGCCTTTGCGGCGGGTTTTGCAGCTCTGCGGCGAGTTTGGCAGCTCTGCGGCGAGTTCTGCAGCCTTTGCGGCGAGTTTTGCAGCCTTTTCGGCGAGTTTTGCAGCTCTGCGGCGAGTTTTGCAGCTCTGCGGCGAGTTTTGCAGCCTTTGCGGCGAGTTTTGCAGCTCTGCGGCGAGTTCTGCAGCCTTTGCGGTGAGGTTTGCAGCCTTTGCGGCGAGTTTGGCAGCTCTGCGGCGAGTTTGCAGCCTTTGCGGCGAGTTTGGCAGCTCTGCGGCGAGTTTGGCAGCTCTGCGGTGAGTTCTGCAGCCTTTGCGGCGGGTTTTGCAGCTCTGCGGTGAGTTTGGCAGCTCTGCGGCGAGTTCTGCAGCCCTTGCGGCGAGTTTTGCAGCCTTTGCGGCGAGTGTTGCAGCCTCTACGGTGAGTTTTGCAGCCAAAAAACTTGTCATTCGAGGAATAAAATCTCCTATTAGGCCTAATATTCGCGTCTTGAGCAAAAAACTCGCTTAAGGGACAAAAAATTTGCTTTTTGAGCGGAAAATTTGCCTCTGGAGCCTGTTTACTGATAAATTGGCTTTGGAAGCCAAAAACTGGTCATTTGAGACGTAAAAACAACTTACGAGCGGCAAAATTCGTGTTTTGAGCGAAATATTTGCTTTATGAGCGGAAAGCTGGCCTAAGAGAGCTTAAAATTCGCTCATAGAGTGGTTTTACCCACCTTTTAACCAATAAGTTGGTTTGAAAGCCAAAAAATTTGACATTTGTGGAACAAAATTACTCTTAGAGCCAAAAATTCGTGTTTTGAGCGGGAAACTTGCTAAATTTGTGCTTTTGATATACGTAGCCGTTGAAATACTGTGCCTATAGTCAATTCTAAATTTTACCCATCCTTGTTCATATTTGGGTGCTAAATCGAAAAACAAGTGAAATAGTTGCGGGAAGAGAAATGAAAGCGAGAATATATTAATAACTCTTTATTTCTTCTACTTGATGTACAGTTCAAAATCATTATTAAAAAAATTAGGTAGTTCTAGTTGAAAATCAGATCACGATAATGGGACAGTA